ATATTTTCTCTTCCTCTTCTTTACATTTAACCAATTCCATTTGCACTTCTAAAAATTTTTTCAATTCCATTTCCGTTTTCTTTCTTTCTTCTTTCAATTCCATATCCTTCGCATCGAATTCCTCTCGTATCCGTTTCAATTCTTCCATGTGTTCCTTCATTTTCTTCTCTTCCTCTTCTCTTTCTTTTCTCTTCTCAATCACTTGTTGTATCCATGATTTTTTAACAAAATCCGAATGTTGTTTCCTTTCGAACTGTAAAACAAATAAAAACTTTTAAAAAACCGCAATTTCTTTAAAATCTTCACAGAGAGAAAGAGTCAGAGCGAAAGAGAGTCAGGGAGTCAGAGCGAGAGAGGGGAAGAGTCGAAGAGAGAGAGAGGGAGAGTCGGAGAGAGAGGAACAGTCACAGAGAGAAAGATTAAGAGTCAGAGAGTCAGAGAGAGAGAAAGAGTCAGAGTGAGAGAGAGTCAGAGAGAGTCAGAGTCAGGGAGTCAGAGAGAGAGAGAGAGAGTCGGAGAGGGAGAGAGTGAGAGAGTGTCGGAGAGAGAGGAAGAGTCGGAGAGAGAAAGAGGAAGAGTCAGAGAGTCAGAGAGAGAAAGAGGAAGAGTCAGAGAGTCAGAGAGAGAGAAAGAGTCAGAGTGAGAGAGAGTCAGACAGTCAGGGAGTCAGAGAGAGAGAGAGAGAGAGAGTCGAAGAGAGAGTGAGAGAGAGTCAGAGAGTCAGAGAGTCAGAGAGTGAAAGAGAATCAGAAAGTCAGGGAGTCAGAGAGAGAGAGAGAGAGAGTCAGAGAGTTAGAGTGAGTCAGGGAGTCAAAGAGAGAGAGTGAGGAAGAGTCGGAGAGAGTCAGAGAGTCAGGGAGTCAGAGAGAGAGAGAGAGAGAGAGAGTCGAAGAGAGAGTGAGACAGAGTCGGAGAGAGTCAGAGAGTCAGAGAGTGAAAGAGAATCAGAAAGTCAGGGAGTCAGAGAGAGAGAGAGAGAGTCAGAGAGTTAGAGTGAGTCAGGGAATCAGAGAGAGAGAGAGAGGAAGAGAGTCAGAGAGAGAGAGAGAGTCAGAGCGAAAGAGAGTCAGAGAGAGAGAGAGAGGAAGAGAGTCAGAGAGAGAGAGAGTCAGAGAGTGAGAGTGAGTCAGAGAGTCAGAGAGTGAAAGAGAATCAGAAAGTCAGGGAGAGAGAGAGAGAGTCAGAGAGTTAGAGTGAGTCAGGGAGTCAGAGAGAGAGAGAGAGGAAGAGAGTCAGAGAGAGAGAGAGATAGTCAGAGAGTTAGAGAAAGAGGGAGTGAGTCAGAGCGAGAGAGAGAGAGGAAGAGAGTCAGAGAGAGAGAGAGAGTCAGAGAGTGAGAGAGAGAAAGAGTCAGAGTGAGAGAGAGAGGGAGACTCAGAGAGAGAGTGAGTCAGAGCGAGAGAGAGAGAGAGAGAGGGAGACTCAGAGAGAGAGAGAGAGAGTCAGAGAGTTAGAGAAAGAGGGAGTGAGTCAGAGCGAGAGAGAGAGAGAGAGAGGAAGAGAGTCAGAGAGAGAGAGAGTCAGAGAGTGAGAGAGAGAAAGAGTCAGAGTGAGAGAGAGTCGGAGAGTCAGAGAGTG